ACATAGGACGTGATTCACACCTGCCTTGAAGGTCCCACGAAAACAGGAGACACCCATCATTATTGCACTTTATATAAGGATTCTGTGAAGTATTGCGATCAGAATCATGTGAATGATGGTTAAAATGAAATGTTCTTGAATATCTACATAATACATGTACATGATACAGGTATTGTACACATCATAGTTGACGTAATGCAGGCACAAATGTTGACGTAATGCAGGCACCAATGTTGACGTAATTCAGGCACCATTGCTGATATGACGTAGACATCATTCATAACGTAAAATAGATACCATTGTTGATGTTATATTGACAACATTGTTGACATACTGTTGATGTACTAGAGGCACCATTGTTGACGTACATTGCTGTTGTAATGTAGACACCAGTGTTCTTGTAATGTAGACACCATTGTTGTTGTAATGTAGACACCATTGCTGTTGTAATGTAGACACCATTGTTTTAATGTAGACACCAGTGTTGTTGTAATGTAGACACTATTGTTGTTGTAATGAAGACACCACTGTTGTTATAATGTAGACACCATTGTTGTTGTAATGTAGACGCCATTGTTGTTGTAATACAGGCACCATTGTTGAGGTAATGACGATGACATTGTAGACCTAATGAAGATGTAAATGTTGATATAATTCACGCAACATTGTTGACGTAATGCAGACACCGTTGTTCAACAATCGGTCAATGTCACATCAAATTTGATAAACATGAAAGAAACTCTAAATGTGGGAGGAATGGAAGAACGCTTATATTATGACAAGCATAGAAGATATTTAACACTTGTAACATTTTATGATAATAATGGAGGTTTGTAAAAAATAAAACTGCTTGTACTTTGCTACTTCTTGTGTTTTTAAATAGCACTTGGATGACACAAAGTGTGATATGTTATGTATGACACTTGTATTCGTCATTTATGCCAAGGGAATTAATTGGTGAATGATCTTCAAAACTTATTGAACAGATCAGATTATACACATGGAACCCATTGGCTGTGGTGTTGGTGAACCCCAACACATAATATATATAAACATGCTAAACCATTGATTATAATCCTAGTTTGCTCCTTGAACGCTTGTTATCACAGCTTTTCTCAATTAAGATATTTTTGCCGAAGAACTCATCGTGTATGTGGTTAATGCAATATACGGCGTGTGATTGTTAACATTGATGTTTCAGAGAGTATTACACTGCCCAGGGCGCTCTCAAAATTAAAAATAGGGTGCTCTTATTAGAATATAACTTTGGTGAGAAAAAGAGTTGAAAGATCGTAAATTTCGTGGTTAATGCTGACAGGCTGAAATTTTACAAAAGAAAAGTCTGTGCGTATTATACACAACAGACATATTTTCCTGAATTTAATTGCCAAAAATTTAGGGTGCATATAACACATGAGTGTGTATATATTATTCACGAATAAATAAGTCTTGTGTACATTGATCAATCGGAAGGGGTGCTAATTGGGATTGTTCACTAGCCAATAAATTAGCAAATATCGCCGTGGGCGTTTATTAGACCAGGGCGCTTATTACGTCGAGTACGGTAGGTCACAAACATACATTATTCACTCTGTGCTTTGACAGATGAGGAAAGAGTTTTGTATTATATCATTATCTGACTATAAAACCTGACCCAACCGCTTATCAGGTAGTTTGCATAAAGCACAGAGTATAAATATACACCGTTACCTGCACTACAAGGAGGTAGAATATGCAGTGTACGTCTATCAATCAAGTACTACCAACTGAGTGTAATATATACTGGCATCAATTTTGTTCTTTTTTCGTTGTTGAAATGACTATTGTGATTGTGACTCGATGCTACTATTGTATATTAAGAGCATGGGTTTAAAGATCAATGAGTCAATAAGCGTTTCCTATTGGATTTTTTATGATATGAAACAACACATTTTGTCATGAATAAAGCCGTTGGTTAATGCGTAATTGGCTAATGGTAACAGAAACCTACCAAAGAAATGCCACGCCCATCATCTCAATGTCTGTATTATATTCTGGGCGGCCAGTAAGTAATCAAGGTTGGATCAGACAAACCAGTGGTTGATATTATGAGCAACGTCAATGGCCGTCGGGGTACGATGGCGCGCAATAAACCAATACCGAGATTGACCACCTGATCGATTTTACCACTTCTGGCGACAAGGATATATAGGATTCATTACTTCGACCAATCACTAAACCGGAATAGGTTTCGTTGAGCAGCAAGACATATGTTCCTTATTATTATATTTTAGATATTCATAATCATTCCGCGCGACTTTAATTGTATTAACATACATAGCCATGCCTTACCCTAATTTATGTGGTATATGTTTGTGTGTCATATCAAACCCATTCCGGGTAGAGGTTAGAAACTTGAAACATCATGAATTGTAACAAAATGTCAGTCACCATTCAATGATTTCTGTGTAGTATCTTGTTTGAGTAGTTTTGTAAGATAGTCATACCAAGCTATGAAACGTGACACAATCACTTGTCAGGTAGTATGCAAAAAGCACTCAGTACAAACAGCCTGCACATATACAAACATTCATATCGGTGCCCGTCATTACTAACGGATTCCGGATGGAGTTGTTATGTTCTGCCTGTCACTCGCTCCCTCTTGTTTGGAAGGATGGCAGATCCACACACACCACCATGTTTTCTGGCTATCATTCAGTAACAATACACACTCACAATATTCAATGTGCATCCACAAGAGCATAAGTCAAACCTGTTTGAAATGTCAATGCAACTTGGGAAATAGAGCAGAGATTTTATTTAGTTTGTCGAGGGTGGGGTGGACTGTAGATACTACTTCCTCGTCTAGCAACAAACACAGGTTCATTATTCAAATGTAGCTGCATTGTCGACACGGCTTTGTGTGTGAGTTTATAAGTCATGTACTGAGGTGTCGCTAATCGTATGGACAGTTCCCAGTGTTACAGCAAAATTACGACACGTGCAGGCCTCAGTGGGGAACATAATCTACACAAGCCAGAGAGTCGGGTACCTATGACTGGGACACAGATACCTTAGCTGTATGTGTGATAGTACATCAGTTCAATAGTATTGACGAGTTGAGGTGTTTGGGGGACGATCAGTACCACTGAGGAGGATTAAGCTTGTTACTGGGACGAGACAAAGCCATGTTGGCAATATACATGCTGTGAATTGTAAGTAATATAACTGGTTTGTCCTGGCTGTATGGACATGGCTGTTCTACTTACACTCGTGTTAATGGCGTGCGTGTTCACAACATACACAAAGGGTGAGTTGAAGCTTATCTTGCAGCATGGTGATGCATGTCTGAAAAAAGAAATTAATCATCCCACCATGCCTGTGCGGAACGTTCTTTTTGTGTGAAGTAAGAATAACATACCGCCGATTCAAGCAGCAGCTTCTCCACAAAAGGAAGAATTTACATATTTGTTAAACACTTTCTTCCAATCATATGCTTGTCGTGAGAGGCGACAATGTGATGTAGTGGTCAGACTCGCCGATTTGGTTGATGCATGTCATCGTACCCCAATCGCGTAAATCGATGCTCATGCTATCAATCACTTGATTGTCTATTTCAGAGTTGAATATTTACAGACCACCGTTATAAAATGTATAGCTGGAATATTGCTGAATGTGCATGCGGCGTAAAGAATACCAACAAAATAACTAAGATCTGTTCATGAACCTGCAACTTAAAGAATCTTGGCTACCATCACCTTGTCTGGAATGTGCCCGACAAGTACTAGCGCCAGCGATCCGAATCAGCCTCACTGCAAATAATCATCTCGAATACTGAGAAACGTATCAGTTTTTAAATTCCGTTTTAAGTTGAATGCCGCTAAGCAGTAGGCATCAGGGTACATGGGTTAATGTTCCATAAATATAGTTTGTGAAAAAAAACCAGCAAACGTTTGTTAGTGGCATATTCAAATCAGGAGACAAATGCCAAAATTTCCGCGCATTGAATACTCAATACAGCCGGCTAATCTAAAAGAAAACGATGTTTACCGGCATTGTGAATTACAACAGTCAGTCAGTCATTTTCTGAAGCACTGGCCACATGAACTCTGTGGAAAAGTGAACTCTCACAGACGTGACGTCACGCTGGCATGGTATGACGTCACCTGAAATGCGATGGCGCCAAGATACAAAAATTGATGTCCCATGCTTCCATAATAAAGAGACTTATCTGGTTAGAAGAATGAAGATAAAAACCTAAGTAAATCGACATTGTTCAGATCACATATTGATCTTATGAAACAAAATATTTAATTTATGTGGTGTCCATTTCGCATTACTGAATGGCACGTTGTGTCAAAATGTTTTATATAACATATCAAGCAAACTGCTAATGCGCAGTGAAAAGTCCCGTTCGACAAACCGGTCGTAGCACTACAGCAATCGTAACTTTCACATGGACATGGATAGTCGTAGATGTACGATTGCTTGTTGAACGGGGTTCGTCGGATATTGGGGCTTCGAATCCCATTTCATCACGTTTTTCAACCAAAGGGATTACAGCACACACTCCCATTGATGGTACAATGCCGCCTATTCCGAAAAGTGAATATAACATAGGCAATGCTCAGAATCAGGGATTCCAACAGATCGGGATATCCTTGCACAGCTAAGGGACGGAACTCTACACACACTGTGAGAATTATTCTTGATGTATCATTCTCAGAAGTATAATATGCCAGTCAAGCAAAGCAAATGGGGAGCATGTTGTTTCGATAACATGTATCTCTGACCAAAATTAATATTGCATTTTAGTTTAGTTTACTTCAGACTTCACAAAATGGAGAATATGTGTAAACTGTTTCTTTTTGTTTCAAACGAGTTGAGCACTTCTGTCACATGGACATTGTAACATACGTAACATAATATGTGATATAGTTTGAATTGTATCTACATGTACAAAAGGTCTGTGGCCAATAGAAAACACGTGAAGAGAAGCACTCAACATATCTAACTGATTCATTGGTTGGGGTGTGAGGTCTGTGATCGAGGAGCGATGATTGTGTTCTACCTGTGTATGTGTGCGATATAGGAGTGAAAGGAGGGAGCTGGAACAATACTATGTACAGCTCGCGGTTTTACTTAATAATCACGATAACGTTTTGAATTTGCTGCAGGTTCGAACTCCCAACAACTAACAAGTTCTCCAGGAACTGCATTGCCAGACCAGCCGTACACCTTGATGTGTAGCAGTAGTGGCAGTGGTGGCAGGAGTAGAGACTGGTACTGGATGAATGATATAGTATTTCGTACACGTTATGTGTCAGACACACAATGTCCAGTAACTGTTGCCAACAATTACAACTACAGAGATCTGTCAGGACGTATCAATGTAACCTGTAGTTACAACCAGTACAATGTGACTCTCGGGATCCTCACTTCCATAGATAATGGATCTGTGTGGTGGTGTGCGGATAGTCAGAGTAGACAGGAGAGCAACAGATTGACAATAGGTGAGTATGTTATGGTTTGAGAAAAAACAGCTTGGCTTTAGACGCAACTGATCCTTGATTGCGAGACCTGTGGAATCTCAACATACAACACTATCGTGAGTGGAAGTAACCTAAACAACCAATTATTTTACCTCTTGAAATGTTAGTTCTTTGTTTTGCGCGTTTTTTTTGGCTGATATATTCTTTTTTATATTCGTAATTACAATTCTTATGTATTTGTAAATATGGTGAGGTGAGGTGAGGTGAAATTGGGTTTAACGTCGCGTCCAAGATTATTGCACTTATATAGCGACGTGCATGCACGTGTATGTGTGTGTGTGGCTGCTTGTACTAGTCCGGACTGATGCCGATTTATAGTGCTAGCTCACTGAGATACCATGCCGCAGTTTAACATGAATACCCCACTCAGACACAGTATACTGACTCCGAGCCGACCAGTCCTTGTTTTAGCCCCTTAATGCCGAGCGCCAGACAGGGTAACAACAAGTACAATCTTTTAACGTCTTTTTGTATGACGCGGCCCGGGATCGAACCCTGGACCTTCCGCTCTCCGGGCGGACGCTCTACCACAAGACCACGGAGGCGGTCATTGTAAACATGGCAATATAGGTTTAACCGATAAGCTGAGCAAATGTCAAGGTTTGCTTTAAGAAATATTTGTTCAAAATGCAGAAAATTAAAGTACATCCACAGTACCTCTACTGTGCAATACTGGGTGACAGTATAATATACCTTGGTGTATTACTGATGTAGGCTCAGTTTTGAAGGACATCAAACACAGTTTAACTACCTCTTCAAAATTTCAAGTGATAATTGTTTTTTTAATAACGTTCAGTGAAAGCATTGGATAACATATATAGTTCAATTTAGTTACAATAAAACTACAACCCACAGCTCAATTCTTACATTTGTACTACTTTCCATAGAAAATGGATTTTCATATCACTTATTGGATAATTAGTGCACACGGAAAACTGAATCATGACGAGCATAAGCGAAAGTAACTTACTTTCAGTTGCAAGAGGCTCAGACTGTAAATATATGTGTTTACATCACGCGATGGCAACTCTTCGCCCTCTCTTATGTTTCTTTTGTGGTTTACATGTTTACAATCTGAAGATCCTTACGCTCTAAACATGTTTAAAATATCAGCACTTTCATGCTCTGAAGTTATCTGGAACCGAAGCATGTTCAGAAGTTTTAAATTCATGATTTGCTTTTTCTCCAGTATTTTCCAGAAACTTACAAGCGATGATGTAGAAGGCAAATAACCCTCAGACGTTTAATGATATGATAATGTCAAGATCAAGGTGTCAAAGTAAACACAAATCAGTTCAAATAAGTACCAATCTAAATCTACTCAATGTTGTTTGCATCTTGCTGTATTTAAAGCCGAATGAAAACAATCAATAGAAGATGACCTTGTATTAAAATGTTTTTTTGATTTGATGCTACTATTAAACTACGATTATATGATCCATCACTTAAAACCGTTTTAGCTTTATACTTGAAAATGTTGTCACGCATGTATCATCATTCTTTTATGATTTCATGATCCAGTGAAAAAATAAAGTCATTAAGTTTTGTGGTAGTCATGTGGAGGACATTTCCAGATTTGATACATATGTGACAAAAAATGATGGCCGATGCAACTCCCCGTTTTGACTAGTATCATATGTTCCCCTGTTTGTTTTAGTTGAACAATTCAGTGAGTGAGTAAGTATAGTTTTATGCCGCTTTTAGTAATATTCCAGCAATATCACTGCTGGGGGACACCACAAATGGGCTTCACGCATTGTACCCATGTGGGGAATCGAACCCGGGTCTTTTGCGTGACCAACGAACGCTTTAACCACTAGACTAACCCACCGCCTCGTTGAACAATTGACTAGCCCTTGCACATGTTTTGATCTATAGGACAGACTACACGTACCTGGTGTCATCACTTTTTGATAGGGATTCTTAAACACATGTTTATGATATAGTCTTACAATGGACGCTGCTTTAATTGAGACTTATTATGATTAAGGAAATAGTTTTGTCACTTTATTAAGATTCATCTCAACTCAAATCTTCTTGAAGGTGACGTTTACTCCACATAGTGTAGATCCGAAATAAATAAAAGCGACAAACTGACTCGATAGTACTGTTCCAACAGTTTTACATACTTCGTCTCGTGGGAAGGGTAAAGCTGTCGAATGCCACCTTTTAATATTATATTTCCCACATTTCTCGTGAACTTGTTTATAAGCTTAAGTGGAAATCATAAATACTTTAGATCATAATCGCGTTAAAATATTGAACAATTCGAAACATAGTTAGGCCACTCAAGGAAAGCATTTGGATGTTCATGTTGTTATGCGGTGAGATCCTTGTCCCTTTCTTGTGTGTGGATTCCAAATGCAAAATCTTTTGTCATGTGGAGGATTTAAATACAACCCTAAGCACATTAAGAGCTTAACACATTTGCCTGTGCTAAACTCATCCCGCATCTTACGCTGAATCCATTATTAAACATATATTTAAGAAAACGCACAAAACACCTTCATACCATGACGCTGAAACATAACATATGAATATTTTGATACCACAGTCTAGTCATTCAGTTACTGAATTAATGCCAGGCAATTTAATGAAAACGACATACTTTTCCAGACGTAGTAAACCTTATGACAGCGTCATCAACAGCTACGACAGCAGCAACATCAACAACTACAGGTACTTCAGCTACTACAGCAAAGTTTGATATCTCCTCAAGCACGTCTCTTCGAGAAGGGGGTGAGATATATTGTCACGCTGTTCTATTCCGTAATAGAACCTAAATAACTTATCATCCAAAACTGGTTTCAAGCGATACCTTCTTGGAGATATCGCTGGAATAGAATTGCATTTCAATGTTATGCAGACCAGTATGACGTCATCAGGTACCATGCTGTCACAATCATATGACCTCACTAATCTCTATGCCACTTATCATGAACCTCCTGAGGAAATATAGATGCAGTGAAATTGCATTACAAAGAGATGTCATCGTAATATCATACCTCATTTGCAAAAGGACATAACACATTAATAACAACATTCATTGAAATTATACCTAGCCAGTATACAGACACTCACGACACACTCAGAGTAGTACATGCTAAAATACCATAAATGTGACATATACATTTTTTATATATTTAGTTACGGTTATATATGTCTCACTTTTTTTTAATAAAAATATCATCTTTTTTACCGATGTTGAAAATCATCACGGCATCTGTTTTGATCAAATCTATGTCGATGATGTTCTTGATGATGACAAAATAATACTATGGTGTCAGCTGTTCTCACAATTGAATCGTCTTAAAGTGACTTGGTTAATATAGGATCCATCGTGCAGTAAAAACCGAACACCATACAAATTGTCTGTACTTATGAGTTAGTCACCTCTTGTGTGCATGGAAATTGTTTTGTATGTACAAAACAAGCATAAAAATGGTCAAAATAAAGCAACAGCATGATTTCCGACAGATTGTCCTTCAGACAAGCCATTTTCAGAACAAATCAGTCGATGATGAATGCCATACAGACGTACTAATGTTAAACTTGTAGGATACTTTATGAATGATATTTTCTTAAGAACTGTGAACCTTTAAATAATTGTTCTCATTCGCATATGGCCCACACGTGATAGACGTGTAGATATGAACAACTTTAAGTCGGTAACATTTCTGAACATAAAACTTACACGCCAAAACATCAAATTCACCTTCAATTGAAAACAAAATATTCAAATGGTGTTGTTTGTTATCATTTATCGTATAACGTTTGTTTACACATATCTGTGTTTCTGTAATAGAAACATGTAAAATATGTACATTATACAAACCTATCTACAGCGTCTCCGATCCTGCGCACCCCGGGGCTTATGAGAAGCCAACAATAGGTGATGGTGGTGGACAGCAAACGCCACACACAAAGAAGCATGTACATAGTAATAGTGTAATTAGGTTTTAATTTTGTTTTAGTATTTCCACTTTGCAAAGATGGACCAAACGTCGTCTATATTGCGGTTGGAGCAGCGGTGGGTGGCGTTGTCGTTGGCTGCGTCATCACCATCATCGTTGTCATCGTGTGGATGAGAAGGAGGAACACCAGTACAGGTAGGAAATATTTAGACTGTGTCATATACCACTGGCAATATCACGTTAAAGCAAGTGCACACTTGCAAGGACATGTATTTGTAACTGTGCTGCCCTGAAACCCTTAAAACCATGTCAGTATACTATCATTATAGTATTATCAACAAGACAACCGAAATGTATTGTTTACGAACTCTAAGACCTTGATCTTAAGTACAATCTGTTCCAGATTATTTTCCTTTTGAAATAATGAATGTTAAAAGAGTGTCATACTACCATCACTGTTTCCTCTAATGTAACTTCCAGAAGACGATGCGAGCGCACCGAATATCTACACTTCTCCGTCCCACTACGAGGACATGGGCCACCAGTATGGTAAAGTGGAGAGGCAGTACGTCAACACTGTGGAAGGTATTGGGAGTGGTTCCCCAGATTCCGTGAACAAAGAGGACAAAGCAGGTAACGCAGCCTACTACAACACAGCTGGCCAACATCAGCATCGTGACGAACATGCAAATACAGGAGATACAACTTACTACAACACTGCACGTGATGCTGACAACTAGATTCACATGTCGAGAACCAAATAAATGAAGCATACGGTAACATCACCGACTGCTGGCATTCCATCTCTTATTTATGTCCGCGTAGAGGACACCCTGTTCTATAACAAACACCACCGACAGCGTGTATGCCAGCTCTTCTCTATGTCCGCGTAGAGGACATCCTGTTCTATAACAAAGCGGGTTGATAAATAAGCTTTCCTGGGAAAAGTAACTCGATCAGGCAAATATTTAGAATTGATTAGATTGTGATAACAACAGAATAGCATACATCTGTTTGATACTGTAGCATTGGTTAAAGACTTGAAGCAACAGCCCATCTACCTTTTACCACTAGCGCTTTCTTGAAGCAGTGTATGTGTGTTTTGGGGTTATGATTCTGCAATTGGTTGTGTTTTTCTTTTTTTGTATTTTAGCTATTTTATATTTAATATAGTAAGGCATATTGTGAACGTCGGTACAGCAAAAAAGTATATAGAATGCTTCTGAGACGTTTTCGGGTATTTCAAAGTGATGTGAAGATAAGAGACTGTATTTCAGTATAGGTTACTATAACATACAATAGCTTCCAAACAAGGTGAAAATGTATTGCATTTTACAGCTTTATTGAATGAGTTTATGATGCAAATGTTATTGTATGTCCCATTGGCTGATATGGTGATCTCGGGTTGGCTATGATGTGTCATAAATAAATAAATAAATAGTGTTCTCCATGGATTGTTTGTTTTGTTGTTTAACGCCGCACTCACCAATAGTCAAGCTATATGACGGCGGTCTGTAAATAATCGAGTCTGGACAAGACTATCCAGTGAGTGACACGAGTGAAATATTTTCCCTTATCAGTCGTACCGAGTGGGTTATTCTATTTATTATCCATATTCATATTAAAGACATGTTTCAAGAAAAAATCAACTGTCGCCGATCAAGAATCAGCTGATTTGTAGCAATCCGCGTGTGATAAAACACTGTCCTCTCACTTACGCGTAGAAAATATAGTTCTGTTAACACAACTTTAAAGATCACATTATTGCAATTATATTTCTGTCTGAGTTACACAGCGTACACTATCTAGCATTGATAAAAGAAGACAATTTTCAAAAATGTTCAACAGGCTTTTTAATCAAGACCTCTCATTGACAAGACATTCAGCATGGACATTAATTTCACATTGAGATGAATAAACACGGAAAACCTGTCATTTTCTTCATGTGTCATTCGATAAAAATGCCAAAACCTGTATCAACAACATAGAAGGAATGTAAAGAAGTCATGTTTGATTGAGAAAAGTTACGAAAAGTAGGTAAAGTTTGAAAAATACGATTGCTGTGTCGGAAAGAATGACCCGACTTGACCCAGATTTGAGACAGCTGAAACCAAGTTGCAAGTATATTCCGGACAGCACGTTCTATAGACTACTCAGAGTCAGAATAAATGAGTATTCTTCTCTTTGGGTCCGGTAGATGACTGTCGACAGTAGAGTGACCCGAGTCGTTAGAAGAAATGGTGAAATTAGAAACCCCTCCATATATGGGCCCCGGAAACAGGGTGTGCAGGGAATGGACGTCGTGTGTGATTTGTGACAAGTGTGACTGATGGGAAACTAGTGCATCTGGGATTCTGGGAGGATTTGACAAACGCGCTTGTGGAGTGGACGTATAAGATGATATGATTTTGTTGATATTTTTATGTTGTGATTCATTAATTGTCGAATAATTGTTGATGGACTGGACATTCTTGTGACCAGAAACTTGCATAATCTGATGCGCTGGGACACCATTGTGGGAAAAAGTTTGGATCATTCGTTTTCTAATGCTGTAGTTCGTCAACCTTTTGTCTGAGGACAGTCCAGCCCTGGATGCCATGGTCTTCATGAGAGAGCCTAACTTGTTTCTACCAACAGGTTGGCGTTTAAACCAGGTGTTTTAAGATTTTACCCCGAACTGTGTGTTGGGTGCAAGATAAAATTGACTTTCATCATTGCTAAAGTCAACCTGTAAACTGCCACCGGACAACATTCGTCACCAGGGTGATCCCACCCTTTGGGTGCCAAGTCACGGGATTGATCACCTTGCCGTGTGTTTTACTCACGTTCGAAAGTAGACTGTTTAGTTCAACCACAATGTGTTTAACACAGCATCTGGAGACTTAGTGCCAAGCTATCCGCATTCACGGAGTTTATTCAGTTCCATATCGGACACAGGATCAGCTCGCTCGGGTAAGTTTCCTTTTCCTTGCTTTTTTTATGATTTTCGTTTTGATTTCAAAACCTCCCTCAGTTTAGCAAAGTGCATAGATTCCGCCAGCAGATGTTTGTAATCGTGTCCCTTGAGGTAACTCTCAATGCTTGCCTTGACCCCCTTTAGAGTAGACGGTTCGTATTCCGAACCATCTGATTTGCGGGCCGAAATGAAAAATTTACAAAGAATAATGTTAAGTTCACTGGGGCTAATTTCTTCCACCTTCCTTGTGTCATTTAAACTTTCCTGTATAAATTTTTGAACTAAATTCATATCAAGTTTAGTCTTTTTCATAGTGTTTTCGTTTTCATTGGCAGTTAAGAACTTTTCGATGTCATCATCGTTCACAAAGGTAAACCTGTCTGCATTCAGCCCGTACTTGGTGGTGTTGACTTTTGCACACTAGAAAGAGTCTCTGGCAAAACTCGCAATCTGAATCTTGGAACTTCCATCTGACCATATGCAGTTTTGACAACAAACAAATTAATGTGTTCAGAGGTTGAATTATGCGAATAACTCTTCCTGTCAGATCTCCGTCTACTTTAACGAGGTCATTTACTTTGACAGGTGTGAAATGGTCAGCCATGTTTGTTTACAAACAACGCAGACGGAGTTTTGTTTTTTGTAATTACGCTTATTGTTAACTAAAACTCATGCAAAATGCTTTATTCATATATCGAAATGTGAAATCATGTGGTTGATATGAAACTATGTTGCACGTAAAACATGTGAATGAATGCCCCGGATTTGTGAATGAACTCACTGAGAGAAAAATAGTCCTGTCGTCCAATGAAAATTGACATTTGTTTCACTGACCAATCAGCTTCAAGAATCACAAACTGCACACTGTGCAAATATCAAAAAGTTATTAGACTACATATTTGAGCCCATATGGGTAATAATATATAAAAGTGCAACACACTATTTACGGCAGTGGCACATGAAACATGAAGACATATGAAAGAATCAATTACATTTTCAAGCTGCATCTTCAAAAAATTTAGGGGGTGGTCGGGTAGCTATTGGTTAAAGAGTTCACTCGCCACGCCGAAGACCCGGGTTCGATTCCCGACATGGGTACAATGTGTGAAGCCAATTTCTGTTGTCCCCCGCCGTGATATTGCTGGAATATTGCTAAAAGCGGCGTAAAACCATACTCACTCACTCACTCATAAAATTTATATAATTGACACATTTATAATACAACATTGATTATTACTTTAAAGTGAAGGAAAATACATATGAAGGCAATCGGTAATAGGGCATTATGGGAAAAAAATAGCAAGTGTGTCAAAGACGTCCTCCAAACTAAAAGAGTACCACACGGGTCCTAGAGGACAAGCCTTCATAGACTACCCCATGGACAGGGGCAAAGGTTTTCAAAGCGGAAACTGAGTTCGATTAAAATGCTAACTAATTAATTTAAAAGTGAGTGTTTACCTTCACGAACGTCACATTCCATAACAGACTCTAGATCCAGGAGATCTATAATAAAGATAAGAATGTTGGCCTTTGTCGTTGTCCGGATGGTTCTCCATGGACGACGCAGGTCATCATCAGCCTGAAAGTCCAAACAACTACAATATTAATTTACTCCTAAACATAGAAATACAATAAATACTAATAAATACAAAAGGTGGTAACAATCCTTTATGTTAATAGATTAACCTATGTTATTAATCAAACATGTTTCATACCACGTTTCATAACTTAACTTCCACCAAAGTAACAAGTTCGTCTCTTGTACTCTTCTTAATCCTGAGAGATTCCTCCCTGTCTGCAGAAGTGATGATGATCATGGATAAGGGTGTGCCCTTTCGGGAAAAGTCACTGGATATTGCCTCATCTCTGTGCAAATTAAAAGCACAGTAAGTGTTACGGTATCAACATTATTAACATACAATTTAATGTCGATTAGTTCTTTCGACAGTTGCTGGTGATATTGCTGGAATATTGTTAAAAGAGGCACAAAACCATACTCAGTCAATCACTGTATAAGGAAGGACTACTAAATGCTATATAATATTCACACTTTTCTCTTACTGTATATTGCCTTAAATCAAAAACACCGTCGTGCTTAAGATAAGTCTCTTGGAGACACAGTGCTGATGGTTTAAAGTCCTGAACTAGCAATTGTATCTCATTAAGGTTTTTCCTCAGTCCTTTGCAATTCAACTGAATCAAATGAGGCGTTTCAGTCATGGCGGCTCAATAGGTGACCTCACACTCGAGCGTGAAGAAGATGAACTCCTAGCACTGTCCTGTGAAGATAGAGTTACCTCCATATCCAAAAGTTACGGATAGGCATCTCTGAAGGAGAGGGTGTCCTATGATGTTGTCTAATTTAGATATTTTTTCTTTCTGTCTTTGTCATGTGAACATTACCTGGTTTTTCAATTACTGGTAAAGATTGTGAATCAGTCTGTGATTCTCAAAATGATGAATTTTGCTGACAATCTGATTTGTTGGGATGAATGACAGATGTTGTTTCTACTGGTTGATTAGAGTTTACCTATGTCAACACAGTCTGACATTCGATTGATGAAGTGGAAATAGAGCGAGACATTACAGCAGAATAAGTAGTAGTTGATGGTAACTGGTTACTTACTTGATTGTTGGCTTCTAAATACGAAAAGTTGTTGTTGTGTTTCAGTTTCAATATCTGTGACTCAGTTTTCCATACAGGACAAGACTTTGACCAGGCTTCATGTTGGCCATTACAGTTGACACACTTGACATCTATCCTACATTCGTTGCTGTCATGTTTACCACCACAACACTGG